GAGTCGAATGAGATAAAATATTTGGCTTCATCACTTACGTGGAGAAACTAGATAGGTTTACAAAATAGACCTATACCAAGTGGACTCGACGCGATTCGAAGCGCCACCACCAGTAGAGTTTTGGGTCTGCAGTCGTTTTAACAACATTTTTATACTCAGTTTTTGATGGTGAATGTGGAAAAATTATTCTCAGAAGCCAAAAAAAGAAACAAAGTGGAAAATTTTGCACGTTTTGAGAAAGAATGTGTTTTTCTCGAAAGACGACATTTTTCGAGTATTTCGTATTTTTCGACCGAAAGGAAGCATTTGCTAAGACTAACAAGTAGTTTTTCGTAATCAGCAGCTCAAGCTCTATCCGATGATGTGAAAAAAACGCGAAAAAAAATTTTTACTGAAATTTCGAATTGCCTGCACCTTACCTTCCGAATGGACAAATTTTTGATCGGATAAGATTTCACAGAGCATGTTTTAATTCTAATAATAAGCACAAGGGCAATGACCGACTTTGTTACAACTTATCTAATTATATGTATTTTTCGACGTTCCATTCGAATAATTTAGTTACCCAAAATTTTTATAACTGAAAAGAAAAAAAAGATAGAAATTTCTTGAATATAGTTTTTGGAATTTTCTAAGAAGTACTTTATACTTTCACGAGACTTCGCACGAAAAATTTTGTCAAATTTTATTCAAATAAACCTTCATACATTTTCATTGCTTTAGCTTAGTAAAATTTCAATTGTTTTTAGTCACTTTTCAACAATTGGAATCACCAAAACTTAATTTTAGTTGACTAAAATAAACAAAAGCATTTTTAGCACTAGCGATAATTAAAATTAATGCCAGTCGTATTAAACAAGAAATTGATTTTCAATCGTTTCTTTTAACATAAATCAAACGTATATCTATGTTTCGAAATGTCAAGCAATTACTTTTGATTCAAATCACCTGAAGAATCGATTTCAATCAATAAACATATAGTTTTTTTTAAGAATATTGGGAAAAAATTCTTTGTTTTTTAACTTTTCAGGAAGAAACTTTCACATAGATAGAATTGTCAATATCTATTCATTTGCAATATGTATTTTATGCTTTAATTAAATTATCAATGATTTAAATTTAAAAATAAAGTTAATAATAAAAATAAATTATCATAATTTAAATTTACTCTCAGTTAAGAGAAAAACAACGTTCCGTAACACACAGATAACCCTTCTTACACGAAATGATTAAGTCTACGAAAGTAAAACGTGGAGTTTCAACCGAACTTAATGCGAAGTATTATTAACAACGGAAAGTGTCCATCAAGATGTCTCTTTTCATTAATAATAGCAGTTGTGAAATGGTTCAAAAATGTTTGTTTTGCTTCATGTTCTTCAGTTGCTTATTCATGTAATAGCTTACCGTATATATATTACGCTTCGAAAAATAATCATGACAAAGGTTTATATTTCTCTAACGAATGATTAAATTCGCATACGAATAAGAATGGATTGTAATAAGCATTGCTCCTCTATCGGAATGGTGATAAAACATAAGGTGTGCGAGATATGAGCACGAGGAAAAAGCTTTCATTTTATTAAATATTACAGTGATCATTGATGCATTACACGAGTAGCAACGCGAAAATTGGTCGATGATGTTATATATATCCACGTTGCAAAGAAAATATCACTGTTTTTTTTTTGCTTTCGTTACACACCATGTGGAAATAGAAAATGTGTAATGAGGTGGAGCGCATAATAAATTGTTCTTGACCAAACAATGTATTTTGAATTAAAAACCAGTCGTATCTATATTGAATTTTATTTTTTTATATAGGAGTTAACTCTACCAATTAATAATAGAAATAACAAATGCTGCCTATTATTTAAGTTGTGCAATAGATTGATATAATTTTATTGAATTGAAAAATTGTTTTTTTTAATATTACATCATGTTTTCTATTTATTAGTATTCATCATCACATATTAGTAAACAACGTATTTGTTTTTACTCATGTTCGTTTGAAATACGAGTTTAGTGATACTTTTTTAACGAAGTAATAGCCAAGTAGCTTTATAACTAAACATATATTCAACAAGACTGTTATTTACAACTTAATTCAGATATTTTTGATAGTTTTGTGAAGTTTGCTGTATTTATGCAAAACATCGATGGTTTTTTATTTTGATATAGTTGGATAGAGCATCAATTACTCTATCGAATCATATAGTTTTTATTTTATTTATTTTACATCTTGTCTAAAAATTTGATAAATCTCAAAAAGTAGCCAAAAACATTTTTTTCTACCCAGCAATTTTCAGATCATTTCTCAGGTAATTTTTTTGATGACTATTATTTACTACGGTACTTAAACTTATTATTTTATATAGAATAGTAGGCCGATCGTTTCTATATATCGAACTACATATTTTTCGATGGGCTTATTCTATATTTCTAGTATAAACGTAGTGAATTTCTCAGAAACTTTTTCGAGAACCTTTTTTGCATACATACTTTTTTCTCTTTTTTTTTAGAGAAATTTCGGTCTTTTGAACATGTAATCGTCTTTTCTTTGAGATGTAGCTGAAAAGAGCGTTGATTTCTCTATCGATCTACGTAGTTTTGATTAGATTTATGTCGCGTCTTACTAGTGAATTTTTTCGAAAAGTAATACAAACTTGGTTTTTCACTAGTATAGAAATGGGCCAAAATTTAACAGTGAAAATTAGTTTTCGCGTCAATTTCGAATCCGTTTTACTTAATACTTTTTGCATGAGGAAATGAGACGGATCTCTTTCATTTAAAGTGATTTTCATTATTATCAGGCTTATTGTTGCTGAAATATGCGCATGCAAAAGTTGCGTTTCAGCGCTTTTGGGATTTTAAATAAATTTTCGGGCAAGATATAAAATAAATAAAAACTATATAATTCGATAGAGTAATCGATGCTCTATCCAACTATATCAAAATAAAAAGAACCCGATGTTTTGCATAAATACAGCAAACATCACAAAACTATCAAAAATAACTGAATCAAGTTGTATATACGCTACTTTCCCTAATGGATTATTCAAACCTTTGAATTTAAACTAACTTCTGTCTTGCTAGATATTAGTATTTTTATTCGAACTTTATTTTAAATGTAAAATAATTTTTTCGTTTTCACATTTTATTTTCAAAGATTTTGGTTAGTTACGATGAGATTAATCAAACGTATCTATACGTGCATTCTATATTATTAAGATTTGATATAACATGTTTTTTTTTTATTTTCATTTCTTAATGCCAAGACTCTTTAAAATAAAATTTTTAGATAATGAAGTGCTCAGATATGATAATGAATCGAAATCAAAAAGTCTTTTATCACCAAACCATTCGTTTTTAATAACCAAAAAATTCAATTCATTTATTGCAAATATCAATGTATGCTTTGAAATTTTTTTCTTAACAAATTATTATTTGTATTAATTAGTGTTTTTTCTTTAATTACCTTTTTTTTGCATCATTAAAAACATATCGAAAAACATCTTGTGGCTTTATTTAACCTGTTGTATCTTTTGTTAATATAGTTCAATTGTTCTTCATTTAGTAATGTGTAAAATATTTATTTATCAACAACTTCAATTATTCTTTGTAAAGCACAACTATCAACTTTAATAAGCGTTGCACCCATATTATTAACATGCATGCGTTCTGCTGCTATGAATCGATATGTTTATGTGACTATTCGGCATAATCATCTTAGTTAAAAACATTTAGTACATTAGTTTATTCATATTGCTTGTATTATTCGATATTTCCATAGTATTCCGAAAATACACAAGTATCATTCATCGAGATCCGATATTATTGTCCTTGGAGTGTGGGTGTTATCTTGGTACGTATGCTCTTTGCTGAAAGTCGTATCGGCGAAATAAAGACTGGAATGAAAGTTTACTGAAAAACTTATTATATAAGAAATTCAGGTGTTGCGGGTGTGGGTGTAAGAAAATAAAAGATCAAACGCACATCCACCCACCCCCACCCACACCCTTCTTCGAATGTATTCATCCGCTTAAATTAGTATTGACACAGTGAGTTTTGCTTCCATCTGCTCAGTATAGTAACGATAGTATTTTGTTAAGCAACATTTTGACGCATGAGAGAAGGAACTGAAGTAAGGCAACGCATTTGAAAGAGATCGATAAGTAAGCTTGCATACCCAGCCGCTATTCCTGATGTTATTGATCGATAGAATGATTTCCCAGTTTGGAATATGAGTGTGGATTGTGGGTATGGATGTGAATATCTTTTTCCGCCCACCAACACCGACGTAATGCATTAAATGATGAACAAGAGGAAGATTTGTAAAAAGAGAGAAAGATAAAGAGAATCAGGACAATGTAAATAGTTACATGAAGTGTATAGTTGTAAATATCCGTGGAACAGAAGTTTGATGGATGAGCACGGATATGTAAGAATAAGAGTTGAAGAGATAATTGTATTTGATGGTGAGTGGGTGTAGTGTAGATGTGGGGGTGTTACAGATCCCTGTTTCTGTAACGAAGATTAATATTTGTAAAATCTTCTTTTGGTTCGGTCCAGCCGAGATTCTTCGGCCTATCAACTTTATTCGAATTATATTATCTTCTTTTTTTTTCTTTTTGTTACCTCACATATATATATGTTAGCGTCCAATCTCGGATTCAGTCCAATCTCCGATTGGCCTAAGCGAATCATGGATGCTTACATTGGACTAGTCCAATATCGGATTGATGCAATTCGGTTCACTAAAATATCAATTACTCTTGACATAGATGTTGGATTCGAATTGCTTTTTGAAATTATGTTCACATAATGTCAATTTGTTTATCACAATCGTCATTGGACAGATTTAAGTTAAAGTTTAGGAGTTATGAATAAATTTCTACAGAACAACAGCTTTTATGAAAAGTTGTTATTAAGTCCTTCAGTCTAAATTTGGTTTCTGCCTGAACGCCTGCAATATTTAAAACGGCATTGTGAGAACAAAATTTCAAAAAAATAATTCGAATCCAACATCTATCTCAAGAGTAATTGATATTTTAGTGAACCGAATTGCATCAATCCGATATCGAACTAGTTCAATGTAAGCACCCACGATTCGCCTAGGCCAATCCGAGATTGGACGCTAACATATATTAACACCAAAGAGAGAGAGGGAAAAAATACAAGTAATATACAAAGAGAGAGATGAATAAGTGTCTTCTGCTTCAGCCTAGACTATTCTAAATAATGAAGATGACGTCCAATATCTTCTTTCACTAAAATGTCTGTAAATTTAGAATGGAAGAAAATACTGAGAATTAGTTGAAATTGTCACGGTCGGGTAGGAAAATAGAAGAGAAAGAAGAGGAGAAAAGGAAAGAAAAAGAAATATCCATCGACTAACGTATGTAGAGTGAAAAAGTATATCCGAATGATGGTGCACACACAAGTTGAAAAGAAGAATAAAAACATAA